TTTGGTTGTGAGTTTTACACACGATAGAATGAGCAACACATGTGGATTGCGCGTACGCACATGCGTGCACACACACACACACACACACACACACACAACATACATGTGCGTCCTCGCTCTCTCGCTATCATTCTATTCGCTTCGGAGATAGACTTTGCGGCTGTGCGAACCTATCACGAGAATGCGATCCACAGCGGCTTAACAGTCAATTCTATCACCGCTCTTTTATCCCTACGGTAGTAAAAAAAGAAAACCGTCAACGCTACCGGACACGGCAATATCCGTGAGAGCAAAGAAATGAGGTAACTTGTGCACGAACACATCATGTGTTCCAAATCATGACTACGAGTTCCGGCAACTTCAACAACGATAGCATCACCACCATCATCATCACCAACATCAACCTCATCATGGTCAAAGCTAAGACCATTTTCGTGTGTTTTCGAGTGTGCATAGAGGGACAGTGTTGTGGGATCAGAGCCATCTGTTCAACATGTGTCCATCGAAGCCGAACCACGGCACTTTTTCCACCGTGTAGGTGGTGGTGATAGTGGTGAGGATGGCCATATCCTATGCCTGTAGGATTGCGTGTAGGGAGGTGGTTGAGATTTTTCCCACTGGTATGTATTCAGTGTGCTCACCATGACAGCTGCCACTGATGTGGGAGAGAGAGGGAAAATCACTGCATAAATCGCATGACTAAGTTTCATTTTCTTATTAAAATATACTGGACACTTGCTCTTTTGTCTCGCCTCATCGAGTTAGATGGGATTGCACATACATATACACACACACTCACACACACATACATGCATATATATATATATATATATATATAATTTATTCCCTCATGAAATGCGCGTCAGCTATATGGGTTTATTGAGACTGCACTTGAACCTTTGTCAGTCCACACCACTAATTTTCACTGGCTTTTAGAAACTTCATTTTTGAAAAAGGAACAAAAAATTGGAAAAGTAGGTCAGAACCTCAAATTAAGGTTGATCCAAGGCACTATTCCATAGGTTACCCAAACCTTTCTCGCAGTATTTGTCTTCTCTCTGTTCTAACGAATTGGATAAAGGGGACCCAATGTTTCAACTTTCTGGACTTGGTGAGCACTCTTCGTCCAGACAGGAAGATATCAATGAGTTGTTGAGCTCAATAATGACCTGTAGCACAACTCTTCTTGCTACTGTTGAATAAAAGTGAATGACGTCAGCTAGCACAATATGTAAGCTATCCACAAAACTGTCGGTCTGATGCGCCATTCAGAACATTATGCCCGTAGACAATTCACAGAAAATCGTACATGAACTGGTTACATGCAACGGGACATCGGAAGTAATCGATTAACTATTTCTAACTTCAAGCGCGTTTTAAAGCTCCGTTTTTACATGCAGCTAAGCTATTTCAAACAAGAAGCTCCTTCGGAATTCGTTTAAGCTTAACCGGAGCTGACTGACTGACTGACAATTTATGCCTTGGAATATTCTGCCCATTCCGAAAGTATTCACGAATATTATCTCAATAAATACGGCTATATAAAAATGCTACAAATGACGCTAGTGAAATTTTTTAATGATAACTGAAGATATTAGCTGTAGTAAATGATTGCCTACGGAAAGGATTGCCGTCTAACAAGAAATTTCATCCAAGTGTTTTGAAAATCCTCGCGTTTATCACCGATACACTCAAATCTGTTCTAAGACCACTTCACAGATATATTTCACTAAATATATATCAAAAATTCATTCACATTGAAGACTTTTAAGGTTCTGAATCCAGACATGAACTATCCCTCAACGTTTCATGATTCTACGTCCATCATGTCTGTATCTGTTTTTCCCCTCACGAACACATTTGATCCAAGGGGAGCAATATGTTGTCAACTGTAGATTCAGTTAATTCGCCAAGATAAATCAACGAATGTGCTCGACCGTCTACGACTTATCCTACCTCGATGACCTCGTGGAGCTGTCAGATTTTTCATTCCAACTGTGAAATACGCACGAGACAAACAATGCAGTGCCAAACTGCCGGAGGAACATATAATCAGACTTATACACAATAAACCACGCACACGCACTCTGTACTGCTAGTGTACGAACTGCATTTCACACTAATCAGTCAAAAGTATTCTCGTTTCAAACTGTGCATGACTGGCACTTTGCTGGCGGTACTCGGTTGGTGGCAGGCTGAACCGTCAGGCCCATACAAAGTACGTGAATATCTTTTAACCGGCGACCAAGTGATTGTAGTCATGGGACATTC